CGGCAGAACCACTGAGCTAAATCCCCAGCCTTGTTTTTTTGAGTCAAGTTCTCCCTATGTTGTTCAGGCTGGCCCTGAGCTCACTATGTAGCCCAGGCTGGCCTCCAACTCATGATGATCCTCCTGCCTCAGCCTCCCAAGTGCTGGGATTACAGGCATGCATTACCATGCCTGGCTTGGTCTAATTTTTTTAGTTCTTTATATATTCTAGATATGAGTCCTTAGTCTGAAGAGTAGCTGGCAAAAAATTTTCCCCATTCTATAGGATGTCTTTTTTTGTTCTATTGATTGTTTCTTTTGCTGTGCAGAAGCTTTTAAAATTTAATATGATCCCATCCATTGGCTCTTAGTACTATATCATGTACAACCAGGGTTCTGTCCAAAGTTCTTGCCTATGGCCAATCATGATGATGCATGACTTCCAGAAGTGCTCCAGAAAATGGCAAGAACAATGGTATAAATGTGTTTGAAGTGAGGGAGTGTATATTTAGGGGAGATTAAAGATAGTATGTGTTTATTTTTTATTTATTTGAGACAGGGTCTCGCTATGTAGTTCAGAGGCTATGTAGCATAGCAGGGGGTGGCCTCGAACTCACAGCAGTCCTCTTGCCTCTGCCTCCTAAGTGCTGGGATTACAGGTGTGTGTCATCATACCTGGCAATGTGTTTTACTGTAATAAAAATTTAAAAATTTAAACATTAACAGTATATTTTGGTCACACCTTGTTAGCCAAATGAAATACACCTGTGAAGTAGAGTTCCCTGCAGGCTACCAGTTTAGAATCTTCTATAGGAAGGACTAGGAAGGACACCATAGAGTTAGGACAGAAGACACTCCTGGTTTTGGGAGGAGACTGAGGTCTTCCGTGTGATGACAGGCTGCCTTATCAGTCCCTGATGTTCCCCCCATCTGATTCTCCTACAGTGGCTCTTTGGCAACTGTTGTTTCTCTAGATCAGATTTAGGTCATAGAAGTGTCCAAATAACCAAGAAGTAGGAAATGGATCCCTCCACCCTAGCCACCACTCCTGTCACAAAGTTCAGCCTTGCTGTTGCTAGTCTGGCACTGGGATAAGTGATGATGATAAGCCCAATTCTCTTCCTGCCTTAAGTCAAACTGGATGCTGATCATGTTGGTCAAAGTTTCTTCCTCTGGGTGTAGTAGCTGGTTCCTGATATCCTGAATGTGCACAAAGTGCTAGGGAGGAGGGCTGTGCCTGACTTCCCCTACCTCCTGGGAACCCTCTTCCAGGTTTTATGGTTTCTGAGGAAATCTCTGATTATAGTAAATACAGATTGTGTACTGAGGCCGGGGATTCAGCTCAGTGATTTCACTGCCTGCTGCGCAAGCGCAAACGCAAGGACCTGAGTTTGATCCCCGGTACAAAAAAAAAAAAAAGATTATGCACTGAATTAAAGTGACAAGAATCCAGGAATCCATGGGACTCTTCTGACAAGCCACTTCATGTCTATCAAAAAGGGAACAGAGATTTCACCTGTCCTGCCTATGGGAAGAAGTTATATCTTTCCAGGCATGGAGGCATCAGCAGCCTTGGAACCAAGATCCCCTGTCTTCCCTGTCTCTGTCCCACAGCCAGGCACACCTCTCTTCTTCCTCCCTGCCCCTCATTCTACTTCTTCCCCACCTCCAGCTTCATGTTCTTCACTCAGCAGGAGCAGGTATAGCCAACTCCCCCAAGTTCCACTCAGTGAAGTTCAGGCAACTTAGAAAATGCAAGTTGAAATGTCAAGGGAGGGAATAGCTATCGGCAGAAATTATATAACCAAGAGATAACATCCAATGTAGACTTAACACTGTACTACAAAATCACTTAACTCAAGAGGGACTTCTGGAGGGTAGGAAAGGCCTGGGCAGGGAGTGAAATCACTGGGTTTCTAGCATCAAAGTCACCGCCCAGTTTATTCAGTTGACCATAGCTTGGTCAGGATCCAAGGCCAGATCCTTCTGGCTGATTCACAATCAATTATCTGAGCCTACGATCTTTTTTTTTTTTGTACCGAGGATCTAATTCAGGACCTTGCCCTTGCAAGGCTGGCGCTGGAACCACTGAACTAAATCCTTGGCCCTGAGCCTAGGATCTTAAAGGCCACTTCATGTCGGGGTGGTGGAATACACCTGTAGTCCCAAGCCCAGAAGTTTGAGGCCAACCTGGGCAGCATAGTGTGTCTTAAAAGAAAACTACCTTAAGGTCCTGCCATCCTGAGGATACTGGGCTACAGGTACCCATCTGGGTCTTCCCTGTTACTTCCACTTGCTTCAAACTGAATCAGTCTCTGGCTTCTATTCTCTCCTTCCCTGAATCATCTGGCCTAAAATGGATTAATCTTCCAAAAATGTTCTGTATCCTGTCAGTTGACTGCTTAAAAACCTTCAGTAGCCCTCTCGTGCCCATAAATTAAAGGGCGGGGGCCAGGGATTTAGCTCAGTGGTTTCGCGCCTGCTTCACAAGCGCAAGGATCCGAGTTCGATTCCTGGTACCAAAAAGAAAAATTAAAGGGCAAACCAAGGCCTCTCACTCTGCAGTCTTTTCACCTTACTCCCTCCACTTGGGGACTTTTTCTCAAGCACATTCTGCCTTATTGCTTCTCCAACCTCTAGTTCCCCACATGCTCTGCAATTTTACTGTCTCACTCTGCCCAGAAGTGCAGTTTCCTCTCTAAAAACATTAACTTCCAATTATATAATTTTGCAATCCCTATGAATTAATCTAAACTTGCATTGTCCAATATGTAGCCACATGTGGCTACTAAGATGGGTAAGTCATGGGCTGGGGATTTAGCTCAGTGGTTTCGCCACTTGCTGCGCAAGTGCAAGGACCCGAGTTTGATCCCCAGCACCAAAAAAAAAAAAAAAAAAAGGGTAAGTCAGGCATGATGGTACATTTGTGTCTGTAATCCTAGCACTCTGGGAGTCTGAGGCAGGAGGATTGTGAGATCAAGGCCAGTCTGGAACATAGTGAGACCTTGTATCAAAAAATTAAGATGGGAGAAAAAAAAAGATGAAATGGAACTATGGAAAAATTCAGTTCCTCAGTCCACTAGCCACATTTCATGCGTCTGATGGACACATATGGCTATTGGCTGCTGTGTTGGATAGTTCCAATATAGACTATCTCCATCACTGCAGAACTATCATTAAAGGGTGCTATCATTAAAGGGTGACAGTGCTATCATTAAAGGGTGCTAATATCACAAAGAGAAACTACAAGACATTAAAATTATATGCCTCCTGATAAGATGGTGGCAAGTTTATATTATCACTTAAACATATATGGTCTTGCAAAAAAGTCAAGCTTGAATCTGGTCAAGCATTTTGCTCTAACACCTAATTTCTTAAATTTACAGGAAAAACATATATATGAGAAATTTGTTAAATAACACTGTTGATACAAATAGTAGAATTGAGGCGATGGGAAAGAACAGGTCAAATGGCCTGGTTTCTTTAAAACCATCTCTAACAGAAAAGAAACTTGAGACAAACTATACTCATGGAGCTAACATGGACCTCAATTCAAACAAACTAGATAAAATATTATGAGACAAGCAGGGAAATTTGAACAATGATTAGGTATGATTTTTTTTTTTTTTTTTGTACTGGGGATTGAACCCAGAGCCTTTGCACTGAGCTATATCCCCAGTTATTTCTTAAATATTTTTGAGACAAGGTCTTGCTAAGTTGCCCAGGCTTGGCTCGAATTTGGGATCCTCCTGCCTCAGCCTTCCAGAGTGCCAGAATTATAGGAGTGTACCACTATATCCATCTTACTGTTAAATTTTTTTTTGGTACTGGGGATTGAACTCAGGACCTTATGCTTGCGAGGCAGGCGTGGTGCCACTGAGCTACATCCCTGGCCCTGTTAAATTTTTTTGGTACTGGGGATCAAACTCGGGACCTTGAGCTTGTGAGGCAGGCGGCAAAACCACTGAGCTAAATCCCTGGCCCTCTGTTAAATTTTTTTAAGTAAACAGTATCTTAGTTATTACAGTATCTCAGCTTTTACAAATCTTTGAGATGCATATTGAAATTCTTGTTTTCTTTTTTTGGTACTGGGGATCGAACTCCCCGGCCCCCCATACTGAAATTCTTAACAGATAGCATATGACTAGGATTTACTTCAAAGAGTCCAGGTAAGGTTGAGGGAGCAGAGGGCCAGGGATTTAGCTCAGTGTCTCTGCTGCATGCCTTGAAAGCACAAGGTCCTGAGTTTGATTCTCAGTACCAAAAAAAGAAAGAAAGAAAAAAAAAAAGGTTGAGGGAGCATAGTCAGGATGGTGTAGAGGTAACAGGACCAGACCTGAGTTGATGGTGATTGGGGTTGAGTGACTGGCAACATGGAAGTTTCTATTCTACTATTGCGTTTTTGTTTTCCACTGAAAAATAAAAATCTCTTTTATTAGTCTTACACAAGTTCCTAAAGTTCTCTTTGTATTTCCCACTGTGTCTTGGCACTTTGAATTTGCTGACACTCAGGTCAGAAGAGGAAGAAATACTCTTTTCAGAAGACAACCTGTAGCTCTCAGGTGTTTGAAAGCCTGCAGCTGGGCCAGATTCATAACCATGTCAACATTTTCCATCTCACACCACACCCTGTTACTGAGGAACCTCAGGGAAGAGCACACCCCCTGCTCCAGGGACAGGACTTGGCTGAGGGCCTACCTGTCCTGTCATTGTATGTGCAGATATCTGACAAGGAATAACCCGTGATTGCACTAAAGGCCCTACAGGGCATTATGTTGCTTGCAAACTTAGAAATTCCACATACTTGTTAGGACTAGGGCTGTGTGTCAGACAGGTTACAACTTGGATAGGGCTGTGTATGAAGCCAGGCCTCCAGCCCACACCTCATCTTTAATTATCATTGGCTGTTTGAAGACTTTCATCCTGGGTTACCAAGGTCACACAGGTGCTTCCTACGGGCCAGACCAGTGTGACCACTCCCAAGCTGTTCACTTTTCATGATACAGACACAAACACCAAACTCACAGTAATGTAAAACCATTTATTTAATTCTAAATCAAAACACTTTCACAACAGTGAAAATTAGTGACTGGTCAAGGTGTGCTTCTGTACATACTGCCATTCTCTGACTGTGGTTAGGGCCTCGTCCTAGTCCATGAGGGTGGCAGAGGGTAGAGGGGGAGAAGACACAAAAGAAAGGTAAGCAGCCTTGGTAGAGGAGTGAGGAGCCTGCAGAAGGGCATGGGGAAGGGGGCTCCGTTAGGGCTGGGCCTGCAATCCCAAGTCAGCTCTCCTGCTCCAGAGGTTGGGTGAGTTGGGATCTATAAAGTTCACAATTGGGGCACGTGGCCAATCTGGCTTTGCTAACAAGTTCTTGGGATGCTTTTGCTGGTGGGGCTCTCCTGGGCTCCATTTCATTAAATATTACAAATGATTTGCCTTCCTACCCACAACTCTTCTTTAATCTTTCTTCTGGGTTCAATTAGCTGAAGTTAACTCTCTCTTCACTACATGGGGCCACTGTACTGGAGTAACATCAGAGCAGACAATCCAGGGGGCCCTGTGACTTTGGGCTCAGAAGCTGATTAAAAAGAGTGCTACTGGGGCCGTGGATTTAGCTCAGTGGTGCTGCTGCCTGCCTCGAAAGTGCAAGGCCCTGAGTTTGATCCCCCCATATGGGGGGGTCACTCTTGAGGGGGCCCAACGTTTAAAATCCATCAGGCACACTATAAAGCTGTTGGCTTATTCTTACCAACTGGATTCGGCAAACCAACCACCTATTCAATACTTTATATATTTTTTAAACACTGAACTCTGGTATTAGCAGGTACAAAGGAAAAGGGATGGGGTACAAAGGAAAAGAAAAAGCTGGGGCTCTCCACTATTTATTGGCTATTGCTGGGGGTGAGCCAGGAATGGTGTGGATTGGCAAGATGAGCAAGAGGTCCCCAGAAGTAGTCCATCTCCCCTCACCATGGAGGTCTCCAGGAAGAAACTGGACTTCTAGGATGAAGCCTGGTAGACCAAGCCAGAACTGTCCCAGTAGGCAAACTATCTGCCTGGCACTACACTCTCGCAATCAGGATGAAGCTTGTAAAATCAAAAAAGAAATCAAGGGCTTGGGAAGAATAACTTCCCCTGAATTCCACAGGAAGGAAGACCACATCATATTATTGTGCTAAGGTTCACCAGGCCTGCTGTCTGGCTTCACAAACTATCAGGGGTTGCCTGCTCAGGTGTCACACACTTCCCCAATTTTAGCACACATACAAGGAGTTTTGGGGGAATTCTATCAAACCATACCAAAAGCAGGGTCACAAGTGAGTCACCCCCCTTACTGTCTCTTTATAATGGACAACTTGGCTTCTGAGGCTGGTGGTTTTCTACATGCAGCTGGGCTCATGTGACAAAGCCTCCAGCTTCCTCTGGGGAAGGATGAACTCAGAATTTCTGCAGCGTAGGGGACAGGGCTACTTGTTCAGTTGTTCCTGCACTAGAGCTTTGAATCCCATCAAGGGCCCAAATCCAGATCTTTCCTAATGGACAGCAGGCAGTCCCAGCTTCAGCAGTAGTCTATGCCAGTTGCCCTTTGGGAGAGAGGGCAGATGAACATAGTTTTGAGGGGAAAGCTGATAGAAAATCTGTGAGTGAAGTCACATGTCCTTACCGAGGACAATCTATACAGGAAACCAGGTCATTCAAGCTGCTCTCTAGGATCAAAAATGCTGAGCAAGGCCCAGAGCTGAGCCAATAAATGATCCTTGGGTCTCTGGTGAATTAATGAAGTGGCTTTAGCTGCTGTAATTATAATCTTCCTGGGAAAGCAATATTTTGGGTCTCTGCTAAGACGAGGAGGAGGAAAGAGGACTGAGGAGCACTTCATTTCTTTATAACAGAATTCTCTACACTAAAAAGCTTGCCAAAACCTAATAGGAGGCAAAATAAAAACATGTGAAACAATGTGACAGTGAGGACAGAGGATCTGGAAGAGGAATCTCTCTGTATGAGGAGCCCCACTGGCTACAGAGGCTAGTTACCAAGGGGTATTTAAAGAGATGAAAGTAAGTGTCCATAAATACCATTTGGTTCATCCTTTGTTTTTGTGATATAAAACTCAGGTGAAATTTTCTTCCCACCTCTTCTCTGTGCAGTCAGGACCTGCTGAATTGGCTGGAACAGGATTTCATGCTGCCATCCATGACAGAGAACTCAACACCAGAGCCTGAGGTTACAGAAGGGTGTTTATAGCAGTGGCGATACTTGGGGCTCCTCGCCAACTGGTTATTGAGCTCCAAACTCTGTAGGAGAAGCTAGACTCCTTGAAGTGTTATTGACCCCACTGACTCCTATGCTCAGAATTAGCCTGGAAGCCAAATATCAGGCTTGAGGGTTGCACATCACCAGTCCAGAGGCTCTGCTGTAGATGCAGACAGAAGCCTGGCATTAGGCGATCAGGAGCCAGAACATGATCACGAGGGCCACAAACAGGAAGAGGCGTGACAGGAACTGCTCATCTGCATATTGAGGTGTCCCAGGGACAGCTAGAGAGACAGTAGGGAGAAAATGTCAGAAGGTTATAGCTATGAAGGGAAGCTAAGAGTATCAATCTTCATTTCTAAATATGTACACTAAAAATTCAAATAATAGGAGGCAAAACAAAAATATGTGGAACAATGTAACAATGAGGAAAGGGTCTCCAATTTATCCTGAAAGGCTACCCTGGCTGGCATATGCAAAAAGATAAGTTGATTAGCAGGAAATAGTAAAAGAAAAGCTATTGTTGGTTATGTATCTTCTCTGTGCTGCTTTGTATACATTATTAACTGGTAGATATTATTCCAATTTTGCTTATGCAGCAGTATGTATGTGATCTGCAGTGCCCAGGCTCCTGAGACAGTGGCAGAGATGCAGAGGGTCTTCTCTTGCCTCTCCACACAACTGTTCCCAGAGTGCTCCATGCCTTCCTTTTCCAGAAGAAAACTAGGGCCCAGACATCTTATAACAAGGAAGAAGTAAAACAAAGTCTCCACTAGCCTCTGTATTGAGAAAAGCTACCATTTACAGCTTCCTGTCCTGAGTTTGAGGGAAAGAGGGAATCCACATCTAGGATGCCTTGTACCAAGCACTACAAAGGAAAACTGTGATTGTTATAGAGGAAAAAAAAGGAAGACCCAGAGTGTAGCCTGGCAGTGGGACTACATGGGAAATCTAGGGCAAGGCTTGGACCAGGCTAGAAGGAAGCAAGCCACCAAACAAGTTGCCTCTGCAGGGAATTGTCCTTCCTTTAGGATGGAGTGTATCCTGTCCTTTGCAGTCTCCTCTGAGAAAGCAACATGTAAACATAGGAGAAATTTTTCAGGTAGAAAATTAGGTGAGGGAGGATGCTCCCAGTATCTCTTGGTCCTATACTGCAGTCCCTGCTGGGTCCTTTGATGAATTCACGCAGGAAGGCAGTCAATAAGGACTTAATAATTGCCCATGACATGTCAAGGACCAAGGTGGGGCAGAAAACAACTGAGATAACCTCTGAGCAGGTTACCATCTCTAGAACATAAGCTTCTGACCAGACTTACACCCTGTTCACTTCTGTAACCCACACCAAGCCCAGTGCACATGGGGCTCCAATGAGGGCAAGCAGAGTTCAACTGACCAGGGCACATACCTTGTTGCCCTGCTCACCTCTGAATGCAGCTGGCACTATCAATCAGCTGGAGGGAGAAATGCAACAGCAGATGGCAGACATAAGCATGGTTCCCAAATGGCTTGAGGCTTGGGATCAGCCCACACTGTGTTCTAAAGGAAGCTCAATAGAAGCCAGAGAACAGAGAGGGCCTGACTCCTCGTGGGTCACCTCACCCCTCTCTGTCCAAAAATGGTCAAACTGGGGGGTAGTGCATATGTGAAGAACTAGGTTTTTCCTCAAACAGTATCAGTTAAATAGAACATGTCTCGGATAAACTACTAAGTATTTTCTGATCTGTAAAAGAGAGCCAAATGCACATGTGTCCACAGGGTGGCTGTGATGATTTCTTCAGTTTGGAATGGAAAACATCCAAAATGTGCCTAAGACTTTGTAAGTGCTCAATTATCATCAGCAGGACTACCAGTAATCTGAAAAGAGTTTAAGACATTTTGGCCAAGTGTGGTGGTGCATGCCTATAATTCTTGCAATTGGGAGGCTGAGGCAGGAAGATGTCATGAATTCGGAGTTCAAGCATAGTGAGTTCAAGGTTAGCCTGAACTGCACAGCAAGACCCTGTCTCAAAAAACAAACAAACAAACAAATAAATGACATTTTGGAAGGTTCATTATCCATGTAGTAACAATTATCTGTAACTTATATACTGCTGAATTCCAAGGAGTTTTCAAATAGGATTACTCAAATATCTTCTTGATTTCTCAAGGAAATAGGGCTTACCTGGTGGAGGCCGCCCATCATTTATGTTAAATGCTGTGGCAAATATACCAAAGGGAAATGCCCCAATTCCAAAAGACATCTGGAAGCCACCATCTCCAAATCCAAATCCTTGAAATCCCTGTGTGAAAGAAATGCAAATAAGAGGAAAAATAAGCATTCCCCCTGCCCCTGTCAAACTTGACACTTTTTCTGTGTGTGCACTCTACCCCTGAGCTACACTCTCAGCCTTTTTTGTTTTAATTATTTTAAGACAGAGTTGCCCGGGGATTTAGCTCAGTGGTTTCACTGCCTGCTGAGCAAGCGCAAGGACTGGAGTTCGATCCCTGGTACCAAAAAAAAAAAGACAGGGTTTTCCTAAGTAGCCCAGGCTGGGCTCAAATTTGTGATCCTCCTGCCTCAGCCTCCTGACTATCTGAGATTTCAGGTGTGTGCCACCACACCCAGTTTAACATGATACATCTTATATATCATATTGGATGTGGTACCCACCTTGCCTTTCTATCCTCTGCCACCTGTTTCAGGTATAGGGGTCAGCTTTTCCATCTAGGCCCCACAGCAGAGGACCTCTGAAGGACCCTCTGCCCTTCTAGCCTTAGCTCCAAGCCAGAGCTGTGAATAGAGAAGAAAGGACAACCTCTGACCAACAGTGAAATACGGCTCATGAAAGTCAGGATTTTAAGGCTTGAGGTTCTATTTTCACATTAGCCAGTAAAATTTCCTAGATGCCTTATAACATACAATTGCAATGACTCCCATGCCCAATTACAAGGGAGCATCAAAATAAATTACACATTATCCACAATAGCAAAAATGGTGGAACTCTAACTGGCCAACAGTGGAGGTCATGACAATAATCTTGATAACATGCTCTCCAAAGACCACTATTGCTGACTTAATGTAACAAAACAGAAAAACTCTTGCGATCAAGTTATCAGACAAAACTATCTGAAAACCCTCTTCACAAGTCTATGACAACAGCAGCCAGGTGTGGTAGCACATGTCTGTAATCCCACTACTTGAGAGGCTGAGGTAGAAGGATTGCTGTAAGTTTCAGGCCAGCCTAAACTACACAGAGGGACCTTATCTCAAAAACCAATCAACCAAACAACTCTAAAACCAAAACAAATAACCAAAAGCAAAAACAAAACCAACAAAAACCCCCCAAGTCTATGACAACATATAGGTATGTGGACAAGATATGGATAAATATATATATATATATATTATATATATATTTTTTGGTACCAGGGATCTAACTCGGGACCTTGCGCTTGTGAGGCAGGTGCCAGAACCACTGAGCTAAATCCCTGGCCTGGGGTAAATAGTTTTGAACTATATTTTTACTACTGTTACACAGAATTTTATTTTATTTTAATTTACATTTTTTTTTGGTACCAGGGATTGGGCTCAGTGACCTTGCACTTGCCAGGCAGGTGCAGTGCCACTGAGCTACATCCCCAGCTTTTATTTTTTATTTTTATTTTTTTCCAGTACCAGGGATCAAACTTGGGACCTTGGGTTTTTTTTTTTTGAGACAGGGTCTCACTATTTAGTTCAGGCTTGCCTTGAACTCACTATGTAGCCCAGGTAGGCCTCAAACTTGCTTCGATCCTCCTGCCTCAGCCTCCTGAGTGCTGGGATTACAGTCATCCAACACTCAGCTTTGTTACATAGTTTAAAAAATATAAAACAGTATAATTTATTATAAAAGTAATATATGCTTGTTATAAGAAATTCACATATTATAAGAATAACTAAGAAAGTCAAAAGTTTCCTTATTCATCCTCTGATCTCACAGCCACACCTCCAGAACTCCCAAATAACCAGTCAGCAGTTTGGTATATCATCCTCTGTTGTTTTTTTTTTGGTACTGGGGATTGAACTTGGGACCTTGCACTTGGGAGGCAGGCAGAGGAACCACTGAGCTAAATCCCCGGCCCCTCATCTTCTGTTTTTTTCCTGCACATTTCACTACATCATCTTTCACATAAAAAGAATTAAGAACAATCATATTTTGAATAAATAATTCCCACTGGGTGTGGTGGCACATGCCTGTATTCCTAGCACTCGGGAGGCTGAGGCAGGAGGATCACTAGGAATTCACAGTGGGACCCTGTCTCAAAAAAAAAAAAATAATAATCCCCTTTTACTAAGTGCGAACTCTGACCCTTGGCATAGTGTTAAAACACTGTGCTAAACAAATCATGTTTAATTCTTGCATCATCTGCATTTTATACATGACCAAACTCAGGATTGGAAGGGTGAAATAAATCCATCAAGGGGTAATGTTTCAATCTAAAACTAGGGTAAGCAGCACATGCCTATAATCTCAGTACTCTGGGCAGCTGAGGCAGGAGGACTGCAAGTTCAAGGTCAGACCGGGCAACTTTGCCATTTAACAAGACCCTGTTCTCAGGGAAAAAAAGGGCTGGGGGACTGGGAATTTAGCTCAGTGGCACTGTGACGGCTTTGTAAGCACAAAGGTCCTGAGTTTGATCCTTGGGAAAGAAAGAAAGAAAAAGAAAGAAAGAAAGAAAGAAAGGAAGGAAGGAAGGAAGGGCGGGCGGGCTGGGGATGTAGCTTAGTGTGAAGGCCCCGGGTTTTTAAATTTTTGGATAGGAATCATCTATAAGAAAAGCTTAAACTGTTTCATGAAATGTGAAAATGGAAAAACAATTGTAAAATATTATTTTAAATATAATTTTACAAATGTATATGTAATCAACCACTAAAATAAAGAAAACAGAAGAAAATACTCATCTCATCCCATATTATTAGTAGATTTCTGCAAATGATAGTGTCCTGATGGCCCTGGGTTTTCTATCCCCAGTAGTACTGAAAAATAAACAAACAGATCAATTTGATCTGAAAACCTATGCTCTTTTTGTTTGTTTTTTGAGACAGCGTCTTATTTTGTTGCCCAGGCTGGCCTTGAACTTGCAATCTACTGCTTCAGCCTCCAGAGTGCTGGAATTACAGGCATGTGCCACTACATCTGCTCCATGGTCTTTTATTACTATGCACATCGTACACATTTTTTTCTCTTCCTCTGCATCCCTGGCAAGATCTTTAGAGTAAATAACAAAAGAAATAATAAAAACAAGAAAAAACATTAAGCCAACTGTTCTCCACAAAGAGCTAACATTTGTGAATCTTTTATAAGTGGCCGCTCCTGGTCCTGTGGTAAGCAGCCTAGCATCTGGCTCCAAACTTCTTGCTGGGCACACCACTTATAAAGCTTAATAGATGATTTAGTAAGAAGGCAAACCTACAGGGAAGAAAAACAACTGGTTTCCATGTCCTCAGTACAGAAGCTGCCTTACTGGGAAAGGTGCAATTGTTTCATCAGGAGCCAGAGTTTCATTCAGTGCCATCCTAAGGACTGACTGACTTCTTGCTTCCTTTCTGGCAACACATCAGTATAATCTCACAAGTCCTCATATTTGGTGTTTCTGGAGCAGAGCGTGCAAAAAGCATCACTAGTGGTTGTAGGTGCTTATGAAAACTAGGGGGGTGCCCCATAGTCATTCAGACCAGGGCCTCTGGTTTCCTAGGGCCTTTAATGTCTATTCATTGCTAGTGCTCCAAGCGAAACCAGATTGACAAGTTCAAGAATTCTTGCCTGTAAGTCAAGAGCAGAGACTTCAACATTAGCCAGATCTAGGTTTCAGCACTGTCTATGAACCTGTACACTTCATCTATCTGGGGTTCAGTTTCCTCTTCTGTTAAATGAGTTGGTGTGATGTTTAAATAAGATCATGTACATAAGGCTTTTAAAACATATAAGAACCATTCAACAAGTGTCCAATGCTAATATTATTAAGGGCAATTTGGAGAAGACGCCCTCAATTTTCATCAAGATCTCTGATTTAATAATTCTACTGCTGGCTGGGGTTGTAGCTCAGCAGCACAGTGCCTGACTGGCAAGTGCAAGGCCCTGAATTTTTTTTTTTTTTTTTTTGTACTGGGGATCGAACTCGGGTCCTTGCACTTGCGCAGCAGGCGGCGAAACCACTGAACTAAATCCCTGGCCCAAGGCCCTGAATTTGATCCCCGATACCAAGAGAAAAATATCCTATTGGTGGGAATTCTAAGGAATAAGATAATTCAAATAAGAAAAAAGTGTATGGAGGGCCAGGGATTTAGCTCAGTGGCACATCTGCCTCGCAAGTGCAAGGTCCTGAGTTTGATCCCTGGTACCGAAGGGAGGGGGTATATATTGTAAAGACTGTCATTATAGTATTATTATTATTTTTCTTTTTGGTACTGGGAATTGAACTCATGACCTTGCACTTGCCAGACAGGCGTGGCACCACTGAGCTAAATCCCTGGCCCATTACTATAGTATTATTTAAAGAGGAAAATCTGAAAGCAACTAAAAGTCTTTCAGCTAGGTGTGATGGCTCACCCCTATAATCCCAGCACTTTCGAGGCTGAGGCAGGAGAGTTCAAGGCCAGCCTAGACTACATAGTGAGTTTAAAACCAGCCTTAACTACATAGCAAGACTATTTAAAAATAAAAGTCCTTCAATGACAAAAATCTAAATTATAATGCATCTAATTTCAATGGAATACATAGCCTTTTAAAAATAATAAAAAGGACATTTCAGAGTATCATGGAAAATATTGCCAAAATTAAATTTGAAAGCAGCAAATAGAATGGTGATGACTATGTAAAAATATGAATACACGTCCTGTAATCCAAGTATTTTGGGTGGCTGAGGCAAAAGGATCACAAGTTCAAGATCACCCCCCCCACACACACACACAACTTAGAATAAAATTTAGTAAGATCCTGTTTTAAAATAAAAAAAGAGGCTGGGGATGTAACTCAGTGCAAATGCTTTGGTTTCAAACTTTGGTACCACCAAAACAAAACAAAAACTTGAAAACTGTAAAAACAAATACATGATATGTAGATGAAAAGAACAAAGAGAAATAAGAATATACTTTGTGATAGGATTCCAGCAGTTTGGGTAAATATTTTACTTTTTTTTTTTTTGGTATGGGGATCGAACTCGGGACCTTGTGCTTTGGAGGCAGGCAGCGGAACCACTGAGCTAAATCCCCGGTTGGGTAAATATTTTAAAATTTCGTCAACATTTAAACAAGAAAATTTTTCTTTTCCCTTTGAGACAGGGCCTTGCTATGTAGTCCTGGCCTGTCTTGAATTTATTTTATTTTTTGTGTGGTATTATGAATCAAACCCCAGAGCCTTTGTACTGAGCTACATCCCCAGCCTTTTAAAAAAATTTTTTTTGAGACAGGTCTTGTTAAGTGGTTAAACTGCCCAAGTTAGGCTCAAATTTGTGATCCCCATGTCTAAGGCTCCCAGAACGCTGAATTACAGTGTACCACCATACCAGGCTAAGCACTGTTTGATCTGTTTTGAGACAGTCTTGCTATGGTAGAGCAGGCTGGCCTCTAACTTGCAATCTTCTGCCTCAGCTTCCCAAGCACTGGGATTGCAGGCATGTGTTACCACACCCAGTTAAATAACTGGCTTTTAAAGATTAATGTCTGATTTAAATGTGCAAAATCTGAGCCAATAATTTAAGAATTTATCCTAATTAAATAATGATGAATCTGCTCAAAAGTTTTAAGTTCATTAAAGTATTTTTAAAAAATACAAAAAAAGTCTGTAATCCCAGTACTTGGGAGGCTGAGGTGAGAGGATCACCTGAATTTGAGGCCAGCCTGGGGCACACAGTGAGTTCAAGGCTAGCCTGGAAAACATAGCAAGATCCAGTCTCAAAAAGCAAAACAAGAGGCAACCCATTTTCTGGTCCCTTTTCTGTCTCTCTTAGACAGAAGCTATCTTTCTCTTTTCCTACTCTTAAAAACAACAACAACAACAACAACAAAATAAAAAAAAGGAAACAGCAAAATATCTAACAAAGGATTAAATAATATTCAGTCCATACAACTGAATACTAACCAACTACTAAATAAAATATTACTCACAATATAGCTTCATTAAAATTCAAGCTATGTTGAAATTCTCCATTTTGAGAGTATAAACTCCCAGAGGCAAGTATCTTTGCTTTGTTCACTGAAAAATTGCCACGGCCTAGAATGCTCAGTACACAGAAGACGCTACTTGTAGAGTATATGAAATTTTAAGAGTTACAAAATAGACGGCATATATTGAAGAAAAAATATGTAAACACATGTCAATAAACACATAAATCAATACAATCAGTATGTATATAAGATTATAGAAAAATAAAGCTGGTTGTGGTGGTGCACATCTGTAATCCCAGCACTCAGGAGGCTTAGGTAGGAGGATTGCAGCCGGCAAGTTTGAGCCAGCCTGAATTGCATAGTGAGACCTTGTCTGAAAAAACAAACAAAAGATTATAGAAAAATAGGCAGGACCCAAACAACTCTTTTTTATTTGTTGGTACTGGGGATTGAACTCGGGACCTTCTGCTTGGGAGGCAGGCAGCAGAACCACTGAGCTAAATCCCTGGCCCAACAACTCTTTATTTTATAAAGTAAAAAGAGAAAAAAAAAGGAAAAAGAAAAGATAGAAAAATGGGAGAGAAAATAGATCAAAATGCTTCCAATGGTAATCTCTGAATAGTGTGGATATAAATGATTTCACCCTGTCATTTTTTCTTTTCTGTATTTCCAAGTATTTCTTTACTTCTATAATCAAAGAGAAAAACTATAGGGTCAACCGGGAAACTTAAGCCATGGACTCATTTCTAAAATCTTCTCCTAGAATGTTTCTCACCCCTCTATTCTCTGGCTCTGGCCTCTGGCCTTGAGGACGAGGAGGTGTCTTCTCTCTAAAAAGAAATGGTGTAGTTAGTCCACTGCAAAATGTCTTGAGTTGCTCCTGTAGAAATTGAGAACTCTTTACTAAGAGGATCAGGGCCCCCTTTCCTGCCCAGCATATAAACTAATGCTGAATTAAACCAAATTCTAACTCTTTATTCTACCTGCAATTGCTTTCCACCACTGTACAGTAAACCAGGGAGAAAATCAGCTTGTTATGAGATACTCATCAGGTTGCACTACAGCCTACTTCTCACAGACATACTGGCCCAGAATGGTTATGAATGATGGCCAGTTGCTTTCCCTGTGCCTGTATGATACTGGGATTATGGATGTCAGAAATCTCAAATCTCAACTGAAACAGAGGATGGACTGCCAGTTGAGGGGGTTGAAATCCAGGGTGCCGCTTCGATCTGCCCCTATTAATTTTAGCTTTATCTCTCATTATGCTTGAGCAAGTACTCCAAGCTATTCTTTTTGCCTCTGGGTCACATCCTCTCTGATCACTCATCTCACAAATGCTAGGCTGAGGGCTTATTACATATCTGACACTAGGCAGGATGCTACCAATAGTAAGATTGGTGATAGATCCTACTCTTGAGGTAATGATAGTTTCAAGGGGCATATGAGCAGTCACAAGGCAGTGTGGAAAATTATGAACAGTGTGGCAGTGACTTTGGGGCTGATCATAAAAGACAGGGTTAAGTTAGGAGGAGGTGGGCAGTGGACAGTGATTTCAGCAGGACTACAGAAGGAAGATAGAAGAGACAGAGCAGAGAGCAAATACAAAGGCTGATGAATGTAAAAAGACAAGTCTATTTAATAAAAGTCCACTCTATCTCAGGTACAGGGCATGCTGGGGTGGGGTGGGAGAAGGGAAGAGACATTTTTGGAGAAGTTGAGGGTCCCAGACTATGAATGGCTCTTGGTATATGTGCTTGTAAAATGCTAGACCCACCAAGATCTTCATTTCTAGAAATTCCAATCTCGACAAAGCCACCCAGTCCTTATTCCCTGTCCACTTATACTTTATATATCACTGTTGCAGCAGCCCCACTCCTTGGAGTCTCTCCAGCTATACAGCCTGCTCCCCAAGCTGCAAAAAGTGGTCTTTAACAGCTCTTTGCACACCTGTGATCATAATGTGTACTGCTGGTTCCCTAGGACCAGCACACAGCCTATCTGCTGGAAGATGACACATAATGGGTACTCTGTTATAGCCCAGCGCATGGCAACTTGGGATTCCCTCCCCACTCTCTACCTGACCCTTCCCAGTTGACTCCCATTTGGATAAGACTGCCTCAGAACTGAGTAATCAACAAACAATAAGTAAAAGATGGGGTCAGGGAGTGGTGAAAGGAAGTGAATCCATATCCAAGGGAAGAAATGGGAATGAGATGCATCCCAGGTCCTCACCTGGGGTCTTGCTGCCCAGTGCTGCCCCTGCCGTAGAGTGGGATCACCTTGTCTCGGCTGATGCCAGCTTTGCAAACTGGACACACCTGTCTGTTAGGTCTGGTCTCCAACCACTATAAGCAGGAAAGAAAAATATATAAATGACCCAGGATCCACCAGAGGAATGGTCAGAAGCAGCAGGAGCTGGGTGTGGTGGCACATGTCTGTAATCCCAGCGCTCAGGAGGCTGAGGCAGGAGGATCACTGCAAGTTCGAGGCCAGCCTTGGTTACATAGTGGTGAGTTCAAGGTCAGGCTGAACTGCATAGTGAGACCCTGTCTTAAAAAAACCTCCAAACAAATAGAAGCATCCGGAATACGGGCCAGAGACCTCAAATGGGAAACACCAGCACAAGCAGGGAACATCTCAAGAAAACTGATCCAGGGCCGGGGATTTAGCTCAGTGGTTTCGCCGCCTGCTGCGCAAGCACAAGGATCCGAGTTTGACCTCCGGCACCAAAAAAAAAAAAGAAAAAGAAAAAAAAAGAAAACTGATCCAATTCCTGCTCCTAGCACTCAATAAATATTTACTAATGGTGAAATCAAAATTTCCTTTAAATACTACCAAATAAACTGGTTTCTTTTGCTTTTTTTTTGAATACAGAGTCTCACTTTGTAATTCAGATTGCCCTCAAACTCACAGCAATCCTCCTGCCTCAGCCTCCAGAATGCTGAGATTACAGGTGGGTGCCACTACACCTGGCTCTTAAAACAGGCTTTTTCATGTTTTGTTTTTCATTAGGGGCCACCAGCCATAAAACAGGAAGAAGCTATAAGCCTGAGGCTGACAAAGGGTCTAATCTTGGGTTAGGGCACTGATGTAAATTTGACAAACTTTAAATCTCCGCCTTTACAAGGCATGGTGAACCATGCCTTTAATCCCAACTCTCTGGGAGGCTGAGGCAGGAGGATGCCAAATTTGAGCCCAGCCTGGAAATTTATTGAGATCTTGCCTCAAAATAAAATATTAAAAGGGCTGGGGATATATATACACCTTAGTCCAAAGGCTCTGAGTTCAATCCCCAGTACCACAAAAATAACCAAACCTCCACCTTCCTCAAAGGATCAACTGTAGCACTCATATGTAAATGCTATTTTTCTATTTTATAGCATTACCTCAACTGTGTATCCCAGGATCAGCATCTGGGCATAAGATGATCATTTTCTGGTGATTTATTATGTGTTAAAAGAAAAATTTTAGCAGGGGTGGTGTTGGTGGTGATGCCAATCCCAGCACTTGGCACTGGCATGGAGCCTAAGACACATAGTGAGTTCAAGGCCAGACTGAACTACATAGTGAGACCCTATCTCAAAAAAGTAACAAAAAGGGCCAGGGATTTAGCGCTCAGTGGTGCTGCACCTGCCTGATGAGCGCAAGGTCCTGAGTTTAATTCCCAGTACCAAAAACAAAGGAGAATTTTTAAAATTGTTACATAAATTTGATTATTTATTTATTTTTTCTCAGTACCGGGGATGGAACTCAGGACCTTGTATTTGCCAGCCAGGTGCAGCACCGCTGAGCTACATCCCCAGCCCTAATTATGGTTTTTTATGGACTCTCACTGACTTTCTTTTTTTTTTATTCTTAAGTTCTTTTACTGGTACATTTTAGGTATACAATATGTTTACATTTGTCATTGGGTGCTTGTACCTGTACATGATGTATCTTGGTTCTTATTTTTTTTCCCCATTACCTGTGCGCCCTTCACCCCCTCCACCCTTCCCTATTTACACAAACTTCACTTCCATTTTTTTTTCCTTTTCTTATAATTTTTCCTTTCCCTTCTTTCCTTTCCCCTTCCCCTCCCATCACCCCTACCCCTTTGGACTTTTCTTCCTATTTCAAATTATCAATTATTCATTTTAATCATTTTAACCCTTATTTACACTTTGAGTTTCTCATACTAGAGAAACTATTCGGTATTTACACACGTGTGTCCTATTTATTTCACCTGAGAATATGGCCTCAATATACATCCATTTAGCTATAAATGACTCTAGTTTCTCGTTCTTTATGGCTGAGTAGTACTCCATTTTATAAAAAACCCACATCTTCTTTATCACTGACCTTATTTCTTTCAATATCAAAAACACTAGAATCCTATTTTGGGTTCCCAGACCTTTTCATTGGTTACATTAAAAACATTTTGTTTAACTCTTCTTTGGTTTTTTGAGACAAGATCACCTTATGTCAGGGATGGTGAGCCTTTTAGAGCATTCAGTGATACAGCCTGCTGCAGCACGAGTGTCTTAGGTTTACCACCATCAGGAGAATAGAACTGCCCTATGTCATCCACCCTGGGCTTGAACTTGCTATATATCCCAGGTTGGTCTTGAACTTGAGATCCCCCTGCTCCAGCCTCCCAAGTGTTGGGATTAAAAGGTATGCGTCAGCACACTTAGTTTGTGTAACTTTCTTAAACATTCCAGAGGCTGAGACAGGAAAATCACTGCAAATTACAGGCCAGCCTGAACAAAAAAGCAAGATCCTGACTCAAAAAACAAACAAAAATGATAAAATATGCTATACCTGCAGTGTCTTTCTCAACATTAGATAATTTCATACATACATTTTCTCAACTTTTATTTGTTTTTGGTGCTAGGGAGAAAACCTGGGGTTTTCATGCGTGTACCACTGGGCTATATCCCCAGCCCCTCAACATTTATTTTAGAACATAAACTGTACCTTTAGACCTAATGACATGATGTTTATTATATAAATGTGACTCTAGGGCTCCAGGGATCCAGAGACAACAGCATTTAATGATTTATATATTTTTTTTATCTGACTATCACTACCTCCAAAACCTATATTATATGCTTTTCTTAAGCTCAAAGCCAACATGTTCTACCAGGTTCCACTAGGATCAGACTCCTCACCCCTAGCTCCCACTTATTTCTTCCATCCAGATTCTGAGGCATTACTCATGTGGAACTTGTCTTCCCTTCACATTCTTAAAATACCTCGTAGTGCGGCCACCTGTAAGCGTGGTACTCTACTGCAAACAACCATGGAGGCAGCCAGTTGGCAGTAATAATTTATACACAATTATGACTGCCAAGCTCAGTTCTGTCTTGCCACGCAGGTGTTTAGGTCTTGGTGAATGTACCTGGCTTTCATAATAAGCTAACTCTGGGAAAATAGACTTTCCTCCCTCACAAAAGCTGTCACCAAAAAAGTTTACCCTATCTTATCATTTTCAGAACCTTTAAGAGTAGGAAGACTGTTGATATAAAGGAAGATATTTCTCATTTTTCCCCCATTCCTAGCCCTCCCTTCACCCCCTCCACCATTCCCTATTTACAAACACTTTATTTCCATTTTTTCCATTTCTCAGCATTTTCCCTTTCCCTTCTTTCCTTTCCCCTGCCCCTCCCACTACCCCTACCCCTTTGGACCTTTTCTTCCTATTTTGCATTATCGATTATTCATTCTAATCATTGGTACATTTTAGGTATACAATATAATGACATTCATCATTGGAAATTTGCACCTTTACATAGTCACTCTTGGTTCTTATTTTTCACCCTTGCCCAGCCCTCCCTTCAATCCCTCCATTCCTCCCTATTTACAAAGATTTTGTTCCTATTTTTCCATTTTCTCATATTAATCCCATTCCCTTCTATCCTTTCCTCTAGCCCTTCCACTTCCTTCCCCTTTGCCCCTTTTCTTCCTATTTCACATTACCTATTACATACTTAGTCCTTATTTACACTTTCAGTTTCTCACACCAGAGAAACTATTCGGAATTTATTCATGTGTGTCCTATTTATTTCACTTAAGAGTATCACCTCAATGTGCATCCACTTAGCTATAAATGTCTCTAATTTCTCATTTTTTATGGCTGAGTAGTACTCCATTCTATAAAAAAACCACATTTTCTTTATCCAGTCTCCAGTTGATGGGCATTTGGGCTGTCTCCAAGTTTTAGCTATTACAAACTGCGCTGCTATGAACCAAGATGCATTATGTAAAGGTACAATTCCCAATGAGAAATGTAATTGTGTTGTATACCTACAATGTACCAATAAAAGAATTTAATAAAAAAAAAGAAAAGAGCTACTGACAATTAAAAATTAAACACATCATTCAGTAATCAACAATATATATAATATATAACTATTATTTGCCATTAAAATTTTAAAAATTTAAAAGCCAAAATATAAGCCTGAATAGGCAACCATCATGAACACTTCTGCCAATGAAGGATGAATTTTGTTCTTTTAAATGTATTTATACCACAAGCTAGTGTTTGGTACATACTGTTACTACTGTTGGTATGCCCCAGAAAACATACAATACTAAAATGTATTGAGGTTGGTAATGTTATCATAAAATCTTAATATATTTTCAGTTTGGTTTCTTACAAGGTATATAATAAAATGCTGTGCAAATCTGAAAAAAAGAAAAGGTTGAGCCTGTTAACATTGAGGAAAAAAAAAAAGATATTTCTCAAAAATAAAGAGAACCTACTGTTTTATCAAATCTGACCTGACTTATAAATGAGGAATCGAGACTCAATAAGGTGGTCGCCTACTAAGGCCACCATGGCCACTGGTAGCAGAGTTAGAACAATCTTGGGTACTACAATGACCCCTTATTTCATTAAGTGTCTGTTAGTAGGTAGTTATATAAAAAGGGTTGAGGGGCAAGCAAGCAAATGAGTCCAGAAACAGGGGAGACTGCAGCTTCTGACAATAGTCTCCTGAGACTAGGGCTGTCTTGTGCAACCACAGCTGATGAAAGACAGAGTAAAATGGAATACATCTTACCTGATGTAAACATGGCCAACTGTCAGTGAGTCCCAAGGGAAACCAGTCATCAAAGAGAAGGGGAAAGAAAAAAAAAGAAACTCTTGATTAATAGGGTGGAAGCACCAGAATGGAAAAACTAGGAAAAACAGGGCACCACATTCCCACTGAGGTTTTCCAGGGATTATTGGCATCAGAAATTAGACATCATAGGAAAACCAAGACAGTGGAGACAAGACTCCAATCTGCACCCCTGTGACTGGACTGCACATGCAGACCCCTAGGGCCCAGACCATCCAGATAGCCTTCAGTCATTACAGCCTCTGAAAAAATCCAAAAGCTAAATATCCTCTGTAGAAAAATGCATTTTGATACAGGGCATGCAAGCATAAATGTATACACATACTATTTTACTGCCCAATTTCAGTGGGTTCATAGCTTTCTCAGGCTCCCAAGGGATACGTGGACTCTCAGGTAGTCCAGATCTAGTTAGACAAGGTCTTCAGGCTGTCCACTGCCTTGATAGCTCTACTAGCAGGAAGTAGCTTAAAAGTTCAGGCCTACTCTAAAAATATTTTTAAGCAATGGAAAGGATGGAGAAGCTACTTGACAGAAAGGGCTACCTTCAGCTCGGAGAGCTGCAGCCCAATGTCTCTCATTTTTCAAAGGAGGAAATCAAAGCTCAAAAACATGCAGTGACTTGCACCAGGACAAAAACAGTATCCAGACTTCTAGTTTACTGCCCTTTCAACACCCAGTACTGCATTCAAAAAACGGCATTTACAGAATTGAAGGAAACGATTCAGATTTTTAATATTTCTTTCTCATTACTTAATTTACTCAAAAGTATCTATTGCACACCTATTATCCACTAGGGCAGTGGAAAATGCAGATGTGGTTTTGGTCTCTAACACATCATATGTCTTCTCTAGCTGAGTAAGCCATGGACTCAGGACAGTTCCTTTCCCAATTCCGAAACCAGTTCAGTGTCACAAAGCAGATACTCAATTTTCCTGTACATAACAGATGCCTCACATCTGACTCCAACACTAACCTTTCAAATGTCATTCTAACCTGAGTGGAGTGTAACCCAAATCATGGCAGATCTTCATTGGCAGCTCCCCTCAAAGGCTGAGTGAGAAGTGGAGGTGAATAAATAACCCTCAGAGGAAAGTTTAGGATTATAACAGTGATAAGGATTCCTCCCATTTATTGAGCACCTACTGTGCTTAATAAAGCACAGGATGTGGCTGAATAGCTTTTCTTTTTCTTTTCTTTTTTTTTTGTACCAGGGATAGAACTCGGGTCCTTGCGCTTGTGAAGCAGGCGGAACCACTGAGCTAAATCCCTAGCCCTGAATAGCTTTTCATTTGTTAGTGTCACTGGATGGTCACATTAACCTACTGGGGGTGGTATAATTATCTCCACTTTACAGATGAAGAAACTAAAGTACTATACAGAGAAGCTAGCAGATTTGCCCAAAACACACCACCTAGTCTGGAAGCATCTGTATCATTTTAAAATCTATGTTCCTTCCAATGGTACTCTGCCTTTTATTTCTTAATTCTGTCACTCATTAAGACTTAGTTTTATGATACTCTGAAGTATTTCCAGTTTAATACAGCTGATTACAACAGTTTCACAAAGATGATTAGGGCAGGACCTGTGAGAACAACAATAATAAAATCTCTGCACAGTTCTATTAATTACCAATAAATTTATCTTTTATACTGGTGCCAAGTTAAACTCTAAATATTGCTTAAACGATCTTCATTTCACACTATTTTCTTCCTCAAAGATATTCATTAGCTCTAGTCCTCAGTCTAATCTGAGTTTGATAATCTAGCCCAACCTTCTACAACCATTCTTCTTCCCTAACATATCCAGCCTCCTATTTAGGGGACCTGAGAGGTATACAGTAGCCTCAGGGTCTCAGAGAAACGCAATAGTGCATATGCCTGTTCCTAGAAATTGCCTGCCTTGGGATGCCATGCACTCTTTGTCTTACCTGCCATTCATATCCGTCTATTTTTAAGGTTCCCCTTCCTTTTTCAAGGTTCAGCCCAAAAATCTCAAGAGAAAAAAAGCGAACCTCAACATTCTCCCAAGTTCTCAGAGCCAACAGGGGTTTCTGTAGTCTTTAAGGCTGAAATGGACAAAGACCCTGCTCCTTCATTTTGATAATACACATCAAATAGTGATAATTATGGTCAGCCAACCAGCTAACACAAAGTATGTGCTGCATGTTATGTACTCTTATGAGACTTTTATATGTTTTGGGTCATTTATTACTTAAAAACAACCCTGTAAAATGAGGCAGAATGTGTATAAGCACCATGTCCAAGGTCAACTAATAGGGAAGTGACAGAATCAAGATTTGTGGGGAGAAAATCTGGTTCCACAAGTCCTTGGCATAACCATTGTGCTATACTGCCACTGCCTCTAGGTTCAGCACACCAAGTGGTAGGTACTAAATGCTCACTAAATGGTATTATCACTGGAGAAATGGGGAGAAGCAGCCCAGTTTGGAGACAGTATTTGCCCAAAATCACCCAGCTTATCAGCAGCACAGCTGAGATGGGAACCGAGGTCTTCTGCTCCTTTGGTCTGAGTGTATCAGGACCCAAAGGGGGCAAGAAGCCTTCTGCTCCTAAGCTGCTCAGGGCCATGGGCATTCCAAACTTTGTAGCACAACCTCTGGGATGGCAGCAGGGGTACTGACCAGAAGAGGTGGCCACACAGGCTGATGACGGCGTCCTTGGCTGTGTCCAGGCATATGTTGCACTCGAAGGTGCTGTCCTGCCCTCCACTCTCGCCACTGCCATTGCTGCTCCCACTGGGTCCCCCTGCACTGGAGTTCTCAGGGGATGCAGAGGCTGAGGGCCCCTTGCTTGCCATCCTTGGCTATCAGCAAATCTTTGAGTGAAGATTCTCTCCAGGAAAATCCTGAAAGGCAGAAAACCCTTGATTGCCCACTTTTGTACCCCACTTCCCCTGGCTTCTATGCCAACACTCCCATCTTCTCTCAGTAACAAAAGCTGATTATGACTAAACTACTAAGCAGACTTTCTGGAGGGATGCAGAGGACAACAGTTGTGGGGAAGTACCCATGAACTTGTCATGAATGTGGCCCAGAATGTACTTCATAAATAAACTGGAAAAATCCTGAGTAGGGCCAGAGATATAGGTTAGTGGTGCCACGCCTGCCTCGCAAGTGCAAGGTCCCAAGTTTGATCCCTGGTACCAGAGAAAAAAAATCCTGAGCAGCCTCTGGATCGTTATCCATGGGAGCTGCCATTATCTCTATTCGGTGATAACTAACTCAGATGATAAATACATGCTTAATTAAATTAAATTCTAACTTTGGACAGCCTCTAAATTGGCCAAGAAAAGGAAATGTGTGCAAGCTTGTGACTGATATATTTCAGAATATAAAAATATTCCTGTAACTATGAAAGGTTAGGAGGGTAGGACGGTCTAGATGATGGTTTTCCACATTGCACTCTTTTCCACTCCTTCATCTGCCATGCTGGAATACTACCTATCTTGTCTGAATTTATCAACATTTTAGTCTCAATACATTAAAAGAGAAAGCTATGTCACTGTGTAAATGAAAAACCAGTATTACTTATTATAAGTGAAAGGTATAAACGTAATGAAGAAAAAGTTATTTATCCTTATACCAAGTCACCTGGCACACTTATACTATGCTCTGGGAAATATTGATCTGGTTCATATCTCTTCAGCAAACTGCAGCCTGAGTTCCCTTGGCTAGTGTGGAACTGAGACCGGGACTCATGATACTCCATTTGTATTTAAACCACTGTACTGGCACCAACCAAGCTGGCCACCAAGGTCCCACTAGGGCCTTGGAGCTCTGAGCTACATTCACAACCTTTAAAAATTTTTAAGTTGCCTGGTCTGGGCGCCAATCTGTGATCTTTCTGCCTTGGCCTGCCACAATGTTGACATTACAGGTGTGTGCCATCATGCCCAGACAAAATGAACCATTGTTGACTAACACTTTCAAGTCAAAGAACCCAGCCAGAAGTACAACAAAGAAGACAAGACCAGCACAAGGGATACCCACAAATCCTGAATGCACATTAAGAATCTGTCAGGAAGGTGATCTGGCCACCCTCATCTCAGAAATTCCAAGTAGAAAATGCTGATTGGCTACCATAGTCACAGAACGGGAATTTTAGTGCTAGCTGTGGCCAAGCTTGCTAGGAGCCTAGTACACTCCTGCTGGCCATATTTTTCTCACCTGTAAAAAGAGGCACTAGACTATATGATGAACCCACAGTTCTCCCTTCTAGCATTTATGACTGGGCCACTCCAATTCATCTCACCCTCTGTCTCCAAAACAAGCAGCCTTTCCATGAGTGTAGGACTCACCAATGGAGCACCAGAAGACCACCTTGATTTCAGCTTTCAAAGTACAAAGGGATAAAGATCAAATATGCTGTAGTTTTCTCAGACCAAGAAGCCTTCCACTGAGTCTTCACAGAGCAGACTCAGAGCTCTGGGCTCATGAGACACTCTCACTAAGATAGCAGCTCAGAGACTTCAGCAGGGAGAAGAGCCAACTCACTGCCACTTTTTCACTCAGTTACATCATTTTACGTGATGTCCCAGAAGGACATGGCTGCTGACAGAACCAGTGCCTTACTGGCCTCAGCTCTAAGACCTTTTCCCTGACCAGAAGTCTCCTTCTTCATACACATCAGCTCTCTTCGCCTAAGGATAAAGTCTGCTTTTCTACACATTCTGGCTGAAGAATTCTAAGTACCGGACCCACGTGCATCCCCCTCACCTCCATTTATGGTGCTAGGGATTGAATTTAGGGCCTCACACATGCTAGGCAAGTACTCTACCACTGAGCTGTACTCCTAGAGCTAGTGTCTCCTTGTTCAAAATATTTTCTTTTGAAATTAATAACTATGTAAAAATGAGGAAAAGATTACCATAAAATCAAGCTTACCAGTCAATTTTAACAATAGCTTCTTGACCTGATCCAAAAGGAAATATATAGGATCATCAATGAAGCATTTTTGCCTTAAAACAAAGATGCTAATCAAGCTACAAGAGTTACTGATTTACAGAAAATAAGTATGCATGTATTAATTCCAGAGGATAGGAGCTGGAGACTTAGCTCAGTGGTTCTGCTGCCTGCCTCGAAAGCGCAAAGTCCTGAGCACAATCCCTGGTACCCGGCCCCCCACCAAAAAAAAAAAATTCCAGAGGATATAATCAGCCACCTCCAACTCCAGAATTAATAACTCAAGTCTTCTCCAAAAAATAAATAATATTGGTAGGGCTCAGAATTAAAGGCTGTGATATGAGACATATTAACCACTTGCAATGTGTGGATCTTACTAGAACCAGATTCAAGTAAGACAAATGTAAAATGCTATCTGTGAAATCTCTGACAAAAAATTGGATTTTGCTTTTGCAGTAGCTGATATATGAGAAATTGTTGACAAAATAAAATCAACCCAGTTGACAACAAAAGAGAATTACATTTAGCTGGGTGTGGTGACACATGCCTGTAATCTCATTACTCTGGGATGAGGCAGGAGGACCACAAATGTCTAGCCTTGGCAACTGAGCAACCTAGGGAGACTCTTTAAAAAAAAAAAAAGTATTGGAGAAATCCGACAAAAGAATAACAGAACATTAAGAACATTAAAAAATTTTCCTCAAGTTAGATGTGGGGCGCAAGCCTATAACTATAGGACTTGGGAGGCTGAGGCAGGAGGATTGTGAATTCAAGGCTACATAGTAGTTCAAGGCCAGCCTTGACTACACAGTGAGACTCTGTCTAAAAAAAAAACTTGCCCACAATGCCTCAGTTCCCAACCCAACCCAAAAAACTTTGTATTCAAATCCTGACTCCACTACTGACTGGCCATGTGGCCTGGTAGAACTCTTGCTGGGTTGAATTTCTTTTCTTATCTAAAAAGTGAGGGTATCATGCTTCCTATAGGGCTACTGAGGTGGTTCTATAAGACAACACAGTGACCTGGAGGGCATACTACAGTGGGAGAGGGCTGCTGCTGCTGAGGAGGTCCACACATAAGCCACTTACCTTGGACACCACCCTCTACACTCCTGGGATCCAACAAGCCTCTGAACAGTCCATACTCTCATACACAAACATAAACAACAAACTAGGGTCAAGGCAGGTATCAGGGCAGGAATGGTCAGGAGACAATCATACCTCAGCTTAGTGTTTGCAAGGTGTGGCACCTTTGTATCAGGCCAGCACAGAGACAGGCGTGTATGTCCAAACTTACATCGTATCAGTCTCATTATAATTCTTGTTAGATTGACTATGTGGTCCCTTCCCCGGGCTCAGGAACCTCATCCTAGTTGGCATTCAAATATTTGCTGAACCAACGATACAGGTATGCATGATTGGTCTTGGTCAACTGCCAGAACAGCTGCTCATAAGCCTTCTGTGCAATATATCCTGAACTCCAGAGCCACACAAACATCTTTGAAGGATCCTCTCCTTACCTCCTCTCTAACTCTGTGCACAGGAACCTCACCACATGAGGGTGGCATGGAAGAGATGAGTAGCCTCCCTTGGCCACTGTCTACAAAATATGTGTGGAACAAAAGAATGTGGCCACAGTCTCATGGGTCCTGTAGGGCTAGGACAGGAGCCCAGAAATTAGGGGGCCTTGGTTGCATCAGAAACTGGACAGGAGTAAAAGGGAAATAGGGCCTTAGCATATCTGAGCTGTTGTCCTACTAAAAGCAGCTTATAAACTTTGACATGATCACATAGCATTCTTATTGTGGCTAGTTCTGTGTCCTGTTCCTACTTTTTTTTTTGGCTACATTGCCGAAGGTGGTCTTGAACTTTGGGTTCCAGTGATCCTCCTACCTCAGCCTCCTGAAATCTGTATTTTGTTAATATGTCCCTCTCTCTACCCTGGAATCTGTATTTCGTTAATATGTCCCTCTACCCTAGATCACTTTCTGATGAGTAGTTTCAGAAACACAGCTCTAGAATAGGGAGAACTCTACCAAAATAAAAAAGCAATAATACCAGCACAATACAGTGCTTGAGAGGGACAGTAACCTCAGGCCCTATCTTTCTGAATGCATAACCCTTAGCAACAATCCACAGGGACTGCAAAGAAGTCAGATAAATTAGGGTGGGAGACCAGTCTGCTAACATCTTCAATGAGCTAGCACTTAGACCATCTGAGACAGACAACCACTTAAGAAACAAGTTCCAAGCTGGGTGTGGTGGTGCAAGCCTGTAGTTCCAGCATTCAAGAGGCTGAGGCAGGAGGATCACTGCAAGTTTGAGGCCAGCCTGGGATACACAGTGAGACCCTGTCTTGAGAGGAAAAAAAAAAACAAGTTCACATCTACTTTTGAAAAACATTCGATTTGTGATGCCAGCATGATCCATTTGGGACTAAGGCAGATTTACAATACTTAATGATCTGTTAGGAGTACACAGCCTGACTATAACTGACCCATAATCCTCACTATTTACCTCTCAAAGCTGGCCTTTGTTCTGCCTGCCCTGGCCCACTTCACAGGAACTGAGTAAGAGAATATCCCTACAGGAAACACTAAGGAACTCAACCTCATGAGGAAATCTCTTTGTAGTGTTTCTGTGTTCAGTTCTCAGGTTCTAGCAAACCATAGAAATTCATACTTTGCGTTCTCTGTCCCATTTAACTCTAAGAATTCCTGGACCGGGTATACAAAGGGACCTAGAAATGTTAATCTTAGTTATACAGATGACTAATTTGGGTGATAAACAGCTCATAAGATCCCAGCAGAGGTCTTGTTTCTTTGGGCACATGTCTATACATACTGTAGCTTTCTGCCAAGGATCTTGGCATGACTGAGCCTGTCTGTACTGCTCATTAGGGTGCTGCCAGACTGTAAGCAGAGATGAGACACAAATTCCAAGA